CCCAGTGTGAGACACAGTATGAAGCCTGGTGTGAGACCTAGCATGAGACTTAGTATGTAACTTAGTGTGGGACCTTGTATGAGACTTAGTATGAGACTTAGTGTGATACCTAGTGTGAGACTTTGTGTGAGACATGGTATGAGACCTAGTATGAGACTTAATATGTGACTTATTGTGAGAACTAGTGTGAGACCTAGTGTGAGACTTAGTGTGAGACCTAGTATGAGACCTGGTATGAGACCTAGTATGAGACCTAGTATGAGACTTAGCATGAGACTTAGTGTGAGACTTAGTGTGAGGCCTAGTATGAGACATGGCATGACACATAGTATGAGACCTCGTATGGGACCTAATATGGGACTTAGTGTGAGACTTAGTGTACGGCCTAGTAATAATAATAATAATAACTTTATTGAAATCGTATCCACAATGGGGAATTGATAAATACAATAAAGGTAATGTATATAAAAATAATGACAAAACAAAATTACAAATATAACTAAATATAACTAAAACTACTAAAATACATAACAGAAAAGAAGATAATTTATAAAGACATGTATGAGACCTAGTGTGAGGCCTAGTGTGAGACATGGCATGACACATAGTATGAGACCTCGTATGAGACCTAATATGGGACTTAGTGTGCAGCCTAGTATGATACTTGGTAAGAGACCAAGTGTGAGACCTTGCATGAATTCATTTCATGCGATGTTATTCATTGCACTCATCGGAACCCAAGTTTGAACTGGCATACTAAGTTAGGAAAAGTGTGGAATTGAGAAGGCCATAAAGATAAAAAGAATACCATCATGCAAGTTCACTACTAATATGGATAATCAGTATACAAGGAGGAAAACATTTATATCAACAACAATCGGTTTCAATGGAATGTGATCTCTTGTGGGAGATGTGTGTAAGTATGCAACACAGGACAGACCCCCTAGTTAGTGCGAGTTAAACGTCACGAGTTGTTGATGAGCACGTGTGGGGCTAATGACATGCAAAAATGTCTGCGAGAGTTGGGTGTTTGTTTTTAGCCTGGTCAACGGACTTGCTTCCCTTGGCCTTCCAATAGTGGCGTTTGTTCGATAAATTCGAAACCAAACAGTAGTGTTTGTATTTAAGGTCTATGAGCCATGATAACCTCCAGGTGTTCATATCCTGGTGTACATCTTTAGATCAATGAGCTGAATTTTTTTTTAACTGATAAGAACGGCCCAAGCACAACATTCTTCATTTATTTGACGCAAACTTCTAGAGTTAGAGAATCATAATATTTTCACCTTGAAGTTGTGTGTTTGATTATTTGGCCTTGTTCTCATTACCTCCGGGCCACGTGTCAGCGTCCCCTTCGATTTTGAACTTGACTTCTACAAAATGGCACAACAGATCAATTTATCGACGTCTCGAAATAGTTTTCAGGCAAGATGAAGCAAAAACAACAATAGACACGATAAGCAGGTTAATGATTTGTTGAACGATAATAAGGTTATCAACTTGCTGCCCATGGAGCAACAACAGGAACACACACAGATAGCCTAAAATATCTGGACTAAATACAGATCTTACCACGAGGGAGAAGGAGGGTCAAGGACTCGGACGTCGGCCAGGGATACCATAATAAGTTCAAAACAGTCAACAAAACATGTTTATTTTCCGGCCTGGCAGAATTTTATGAAACAATACAACGGATATTTCCATCATCGCTTCTTCGCGTTGGGAAACATCCTCCGACTTGGAACCAATCCAATCCTCCGCGTGCAGTGGATTGGTCCAAGATTAAGATCAGTGGCGACCTTTCAACGTTGGAACACTTTTCTTCATCACGACGACGTTGAACGTTGGCTCGACAATTTAGTGATATTCAAGTCAGATCGCAGATCAACTATAAAGGATATACACGTTACTTTTCACAAGATGTTTGGGCTCCAACTGACGGCGATCACAATCGTGTGTATGTGTGCCGCGGTTTTGAGTAGACCGTCTTCTCGAACTCTCCAAGAAACCTGTCTGGTAGACGAAATTCAAGTTCAAGAAGATTTTCAAGTGGAACGGGTGAGTTCAGAGATACAGTAGCAATTAGTAGAATTTGACAACAACCCGCACTCCTCAAACCAGCATAAATAACATAGAAGAGGTGAAAGCACTATTATAACAAAGTTGTTATTTCGAAGTTTCAATTGAATTCAACAGATAACAATTCTAGATACGTTACGGTTAATTCGCCACAGTCGTCGGGTTAGAATTGCGTGTAAACAAACAGCGTTTAGGCTCATTGGGTCCGGAGCCTAGAAATGTACAGTAGGGCTGACAAGTTCATGAGCATGCTAGCTTATGAGTGTGTTGATGACTGTGAACATGTAAGTATTTCTTATGATGACATTTTTTTCTTAGAGTCATCAGAAGTACACTTTATATTTTTTGTGGTCGTATATATTTTACTTTTGCGCAAAACAACATTCATGCGAGGTCAACAACCTTTTCAACTTGAGGTTTCTGTCGACCATCAACTCTTTGACACTCGTGGCAAACATTGCGACCCACATCGAACAGGATGCGACGCAACGCGGCGACCACCGCCCTTTAAATTTCAATCTGACTGTTTAAGTGCATTGGGAACTTCAATGGGTCATCCGACAACTTCTGTCGTCTGTTGTAATATAAGTGTGAGACATAAAACCCACGAAGAACGACACAAGGGGCGGGATATACTCCTCGCAGGTTCCAGTGATTGTATGAGATACACAACTACGACACCGACCTAATCTAGTTGACACAGGTCGATCGTTTCATCATCACATATGCGTTATCAGCGCAATGCTGACAGCAGTGGTGTAACTGATTCATGTACGCATATGATAACCAGGTTACGCATCAAGGAGAGCCTAGCCAGTGTGAACAGATCTATTGACGCGTCCGCCATGATAATCAGTGGCCCGTTCCTAAACATTATCATCAAAAATCGACTTTTAAGATATTTGATACACCATATTTGGGGTGGGTGGGTGAGGAGGTGTATCACACTCAGTGCATGGCAACATAAATTCACTGTTAGAAAGCTGGACAATCGAAGCTGCCACATTTTGTCCATTTGATGTTTCTAATGTTAGCCGTCGACAGAGGGCGCACATCACGTGACTTTCTGAGTAGGATCCTCCGTGTGTTCAGGCCAGTATTGTTCGGATGGCCCTGATTCTAATCAGGTTTAATCAGTGTAACACCGATTACAATATTGAATTGAACGGTTAATATTAAACTCTGATTGCCAATATTTATTCTTTGTCTATATCGGTTTTTTGAAAATTGTATCAGTCTTTGTAACAATTCTTATATAAGTGTATGTTTACTACCAGAATATAGATTACTGAATACACACTAATCACCGTTTCTATAAAAAAAAAACCTTATACAAATTGTCATAACGGAACTCATAAAAAAAGTGACGGAAGTTAGTACTCCCAGTGCAACAAGATTGGTTGGATTCAACTTCCACTGAAATTTATACAAATTTATAAAGATGAAGGAAGCTCTTTTTGCGTCGAGAGTACAAATAGTTATCGTGATCTTACGCCCGTTGTACTTTGAGCGTTCGATGTGTATTGCATTGTAGTATGTTTAACGTTTGTCGTGATTTTTATCAGTTTTGAAAAATTGTAGTCAAACTGCCTGACTTGTTATACACCTATAATGTACACCAGGAGTCGACTAAAACTTTGATCACCTAAGGATGCTGGTATGTGACGTATATTTTGGCGTCACCAAGTCTACGGGTTAGGCTCATCTCATACAATGTTTCAAAACTGATAATATAATTATCACACCAATGTTTATCTAAGCATATTTCTTCCATGACACTCACTGTAAAACGGATGTACTAGACCACTGGCGTTAACGTTTCTTTATATGTTTGCAAAGGGACGATTGTTACAGTTGATATGCATAATAATATGATGTTGATGTTAGGATACCGCAATGTGTGCACGATGCAACGGTGTAATGTCTGAGTGCATACTTTGAGGTATCCTCGTAATAGCCTTATTATTATACATCTTTTACTTCCAATGTATAACAACTGCACCCTCACACAAGGATGCATCATGGGAATGCCGAAATCCAAAATGTTTAGAACAGAATCAGCGAACTTCTTTGTGTGGAGTCAGGTTAAACCGTTGTGGCAGCCATGTTTGTTATTATTATTAGAGGACGCTTACGCGCGTAATCATTCCATATTTGGAATTCGCATTTCCTTATATGGTAGAATGAAAATAACTTATAATAACTTATGGCGTTACGGTGATATATGTATAATAATACTACATATATATAATATTAAAACAAATGGGAACTTTACAATTTCGTTGTGAACTATTGCCACGCCTAGAAGCGTCTTAAATTGGAATACTTAATGTGTACTTTGTCGCCGGAGGGCACAATTATATCTAGTCGTATAAACTACTTTTCCGGAAGTCGAAGTTACGCCATTTTGCGTGCGCGCGCATGCCGGATATGGGGTGTAACCTAAACATGCACGCGTGATTTTGTGCTTCTGGGTGTGCCAATCGGCGTCACAAAAATAAAATTGCCTTCCATCTATGACATTGTTTGTATTTTCTACCATGACAAAGCAGGCGTATTTCTGCACCAGCTCTCGCTACAAGTTAATCTAAAACAACAGTAATACACGTTATACCGATATAAGATCACATAGTGTGCCATTTTGTATAATTTCATTGTTTTTTTTTATTGGGATGTGACGCACAGTTTAGGGCATACCAAACAAATTAGCAAACATTTGCTGGATAAAAGAGAAAAAAACGAAGCAATGTGAGTTTGAGGAAAATAAATTTGGAAATTTAATTTACTAAAATGCCTAATCCTACCCCTGTTATGCAAGGTCGAAAACATTAGATGCATATGAAAAGTTTTCATTTTGTTTCTAGAATTAAACGTAATAGAATCATTTTTTTTAAATATATTAACGTAGCCAGTGAATATGATGACATCTGTTGTTGTTCTGTAGATAATACACTGCTTGGTACGTATACAGTTTATGTATGGCAATATCTCTAACAACTGTTACACTCATATAATAAATAAGTAAAAAACACACATGGGAATGACCACAAATTTTAAAAGTTATCCACAGACCAAACACTATTTTGTTGGAAGTTATACATAATCCCCGTTCAATTTTTCGAGGACTGTGTTGATTAAAATCATGAAAATCTAAGTACATTATTATACAGATGTACATATAAAAAATCTACTTGCAGTATTCAACGCTTGAAATTGTATTTTCGCATCAGAGGTGACTACGCATCCATTTTAGCATTTTGAAACGCTGATTACTCTAAGTAGATTTTTTGACAAGCTTTTTTTTCTATTTAGAACCAGTCTTTACTGTTATATTTTGAGAATTATATTTGAAAAAGGTTATGTGTAAGAAAAATGCGGATGTAATACATTGCATTGCCATCTGTGCGAGTTTGTAATGAATTCTCATCTGTGTGATCGAATTTTATTTTGTCTAAAATCCTATATTGTATCGTACCGACGCAGTGTACGTTACTGTGATTTACGCAATTTACACAACGACCTCAAATAAAAGGTAAAGAACAGAATTATTTTCGAAAATAAAGTTGCACAAAGCAATACGGCTTTTCTATATATTGCGCCCTCCAGAGACGACGTGCTTATATGGCGTGAATGGATGACAGGGAAGTCGTTCAAAGCGTCGATATCGTTTTTGAGAGATTTTACAAAATTTACACAAGCAAACAGAATTGTTGATTTAAACGGCAATGACAGTTACAATAGCTTGAAGGCTGATCGGTGACCTGGTGATCGGTTCACTTTCATTGTTAAAACATTTAAGTTCCGCGATTATATTGTTTATTAATAGATTTTAACAATTTAGAGAAGCCATTTTTCTCGACTGTGTTCACACGTTTGAGAAGTGGACTATGTAAAATAGCCTCACATGTTTTATACTGTCGTCGATTGTGAATTAAAGCCGGGGAGTCGTCACTTGCGCATGCGTCACATGGCCATAATGTGTCATTGTTTACAAACAAGCGTCTACCCAAGAGCCTTAGCGTTTTTAACGTGTGTTGTTATCGTCGCTTGGGACTCAATTCCCGCGCGTGCGCAGGTGACGACCTTCCCGCTTTAACTGATATTTACTCTATATTGAATTCCCAACACTATACTTCATTCAAAGGTATGCACACAGGAATTTAGAATATTTATTACACCAAAGTCCCATCGATGACATTTGACCTTTTTTTTGTCATTCTATTTCAGTACATGGGGACGTGGTACGAAATACACCGTCGCTACACCGAAGAGATCTTCCCTGATAAACAATTGTCAGAATATCATTTGCGTGACGATGGTAAAATAGGAATGGATATACGAGGCGTCAGTATGTAAGTTACGATATAGTATAACATTTGATGTCGATAGAGACTTAAATACTGCAAACAACAACACTTACTGTGTAGAATGAAATAAGTTATTTACCGCGTTTATTTTTTTTAAATATTAATTTATAATTTAAAAAAAAATATCGTACTTACATATAACAAATCTTAATCGAATTTATCTCAGATTGTGCAATTGTGATATATTATATTCGAGTCTTCACCTTAAAAACTTGAAAACAGTGAATTTTGATGAAACGTAAATCAAATATTTGTGAATTGAATTTAATAGGGACCAACCATTCATATGGGGGTAGGTAGCTGGAAGAGTGTAACCAGTGCAATTTGTTTTTTTCAGTGTCTTATCTATACATTTTTATTTTTATTGAAAATGTTTACCCTGCAACATCTTTCTTGCTTTTTTTTGTTAAACAAATTGTGGTGCCGCCACCCCATATGAATTCATATGGTCGACACCTTACCTCGTTTAATACACATTAGCATGTTATCGGAACGTGCCTCGAGCCTCAGTGATTCGATTGCAATAAACCATCGGAGTTGAACTCCGAATAGACTGGGCTCCAACATGGCCTGACTGTCTGGACGACAATCCCAAGTCAAGAGCGCTTTTCCAGCTCAGTTCCGCTAGCGAACCAGACCGAACCGTTTCGGACCACGTTCGACCACAACCTTATAAACGTACAAGATATACAATAGATACCGTTTGCATTTTTAATAAAAGTGGGAGGGTCGTCACCTGTGCACGCGTGGGAATTGAGTCCCAAACAACGATAACCACACACGCTAAAAACGCAAAGGCTTATGGGTAGACGCTTGTTTGTAAAAAATGACATGCTAATGGCCATCTGACCCATGCGCAGGTGACGACCCCCCCCCCCCGCTTTAAATAAAGAGTCAAAATAAAGTTGTGACTAGACATAACACACAATGACTCAGAAAAAAATCAGAGATAACGTAGCTGATGATTATTATAAACGTGATTGACTTTGATTACTCTAAATAAAAGAAGTCACGCTATCAAAACGTGCTGCGTGTGTTTTTATTAACACTAGGACTCGACTGTTGATAAACACGCGCCACCTGTTTGACTACACAAAATATTATACCAGTGGGTACAACTGCATTTTTCTGGTAAGCGTCCAAATAATTCATTAAATCACCAAACAAATCAAAATCTATTCTATTCTATTCTATTCTATTCTATTCTG